TGGAAGTTATTTCATTAGAAAATATTCAGATTACAGCACAAAAATAAAAGAAATGTGGGGTTGGGGATGATCCTTAAGCTGACTTCACTGCAAAACTTGGAGAAAATGTAGATGGACATAAATATCATAGTAATTTGTGAATGCTACATACCCTGACCATGTAGAAATAAGAGAGCAATGGCCAATGGGAAGAGAATGTTGAAAGAAGGTGGACTCCTGAGCAAGATTCCTAGTTTCCTAATATTTAATAGCAGGAAATAGAAAGATATTTAAAGTTGACTATTCAAACTACAGAGATTGAATCACATCTAAAAAACAAAGGTAAACAGTAAGAAAGCTAATACTAGTGACTAAAATTAGATATTGGAAGAGAAAAAGAGGAATAAGAGTAGCAATTGGCAATGAAGAAAAAACACAAATAAAATAAAAATCAGAAAAATAAAATAAGTATATATACCTAAACTCCATTTTCAAGGCAAAAATAGGGGGAGACCAAAAACTCAGGAGGAAATGGATTAAGGATATTAACAAAGTTCACAAAAAAGGAAATGCAAATGGGCTTTAAACATATGAAATAATGTTAATCTTGTTCACTAAAATAAATCAAAATTAAAGCTACACTGACAGTTACAAGGATGCATTCATTTGTCAAATTTTTAAAGTGATATATATTATCTGTCCATTTCACTGTATGTAAAATTTGCCTTTAAAAATCTATAAACAATATTGAATTTTAGTTATTACTATGCATGTTGATATATACTTATATCTATATCTTTCTTTGAAATGCATTAAACAGCAAGAATAATGGATAGGGGACTGATTATCAATAAAACAAATGTGGCAAAATATCACTGTACTGTGTACTTCTTTCAAATTTTCTTTATGTTTGAAAATATTCAGGAAAAAATTCATTGTGGCAAAAATGAAAAAGCTTACTAACTCTGTTTACAAAGTTGCAGGTCAACAGCTTTTCTCAATCTTTGAAAGTAGAAGTTTACCTTTGTACAGTTTCTAAAAGGAATAAGACCAATCAGAATTAAAATGGATTTATCTTTACAACAGCAATTTCCTCTATAGGAATTTAATTGAAAGTCATACTCAGGCATACGGAAAATGACAAAGCTACGGGGATATTTGTTCCATGATTGTTTGATTAACAAAATATTAGAAATCATCTTTTGGGGCTGGGATGTGGCTCAAGCGGTAGCACGCTCGCCTGGCATGCGTGCGGCCCGGGTTCGATCCTCAGCACTACATACAAACAAAGATGTTGGTCCGCTGAAAACTAAAAAATAAATATTAAAAATTCTCTCTCTCTCCCTCTCTCTCTCTTTAAAAAAAATGTTCACTTTCCAATTCTCCAGACTTTGCTATTCTTAAAAAAAAAATAGAAATCATCTTTTATAGAAAAACGGTTTTACAGAAGTATGGTTAAGTATACTGTGGTATATCCATACTATGAAATATACTACAGCTATTAAAAAGAAAGAGACAGACTTGTATATATTGATATGTAATAATCTCCAAGATAAAACAAATTGAAAAAGTAAGATGTGGGACAGTTGGTATAATTGGCTTGCATGTGTATGAAAAACAAATATGTAATTTTCTTTCATAAGCATAAGATACCTATAGACAAGAAGGATGTAGAAGGATCTAAAAATAATAGCTACCTTTCTGAAGGTGAATTGGATCACTAGAAACTGCTTTTTCATTTTTAGGCACTTGGGTTGATTCTGTATCTTAGTTATCACAAACAGTGCTGCAGTAAACATGGGTATGTAGGTATTTCTTTGGTATGCTGATTTAAATTTTTTTGGATTTATATCCAGAAATTGGATAATTTGATCATATGATGGATCTATTTTCAGTTTTATGAGGAAACTCCATATTGTTCTCCATAATGGTTGTACTAGTTGACATTCCCACCAATAGTGTATAAGAGTTCCATAATAGATGAAGACAACATGGTACAGACACACAGTGGAATATTAAAGCCATAAAGAAGAATTAAATCCTGTCATTTACATTTAAACAGATGGAACTGGAGAACATTATGTTATGTTGAATGAAGCAAACTAAACACAGAAAGACAAGTACTATATATTCACTCAGAAGTGGAAGTTTAAAAAAAGTTGACCTGGATATAGAATAGGGATTACTTGAGGTTGGGAACGAGTAGTGGAATGAGGATAAAGGGAGGCTGGATTTGATGAGTACACACTATATGCTTGTATTGAAACACTGCATTAAACCCTATTAATATATACAAGTAATACATGTTAATAAAAAATTTAAAAACCCTGCTTTTCCTTGTTTTCTTTTTATGCTTTTGAATTATGCACATGTATCATTTATATAAAAATGTTAAATCTAATCCTCAAAAAGTTAAAAATAGAATTACCAGGTGATCCAGCAATTCCACTTCTGTGTATATACCCCAAAGAATTGAAATCAGGGGCTCAAGGAGATTCGTACACTCATTTGTAGCAGCATTATTTACCATAGCTGATAGGATAGAGACAGCTCAGCTAACAAGTGACAGATTAATGGATAACAAAATGTCATGTGTTTATACAATGACATATTCAAACTTAAAAAGGGAGGGACATTATGGCATAGGATACAACATGGAAGAAACTTGAGATCAGTATGCTAAATGAAATAAGAGAGTCATGAAAGGACAAACACAGAATGAGTCCACTTATATACAAGGTCCCCAAAGTAGTCAAATTCATAGAGATGGAAAGAATAGTGGTTACCAATGGTTAGGGGTAAGGAGAACAGAGAGTTCAGATTAATGGATAGAGCATTTCAGTGTGAAACCATAAAGAAGTTCTGGGATGGAAGATAATGATGGTTGCACAACAATATAAATGTATCTGATGCCACTGGAATTGTACTTTTTCTCCCCAGTACTAGGGACTGAACTCAGGCTTCTCTCATGCCAGGCCTCTAAGCTACATCTGCAGCCCCGGACTTGTACACTTAAAAACAGTTAAGATGGGGTTGGGCACAGGGGTGCACGGCAATAAAGCCAACAATTTAGGAGGTTGAGGTAAGAGGATCATAAGTTCAAGGCCAGTGTCAGCAATTTAGTGAGACCCTAAGCAGTGAAACCTGTTTCAAAATGAAAAATAAAATAAAAATAAAAAGCTACATCCTGGATGGGGGTATAGCTCAGTGGTAAAGCACTCCTGGGTTCAATCCCTGGTACCAGCACCAAAACAAAAATAAAACAAAATTCCTCCCAAATTGATTCCCCCCAAAACTGTTAAGGTGATAAATTTTATGTTATGTGCATTTTTGCTATAATATTTAAAGTTATATTTAAAAAGGAAAGGGAAAGGCAGCACGAGCTGACAGCATGGCAGCTCCCAGCCCTGCACCAGGAAGAAGCTGCCAGGGCCAATGCTTTTTGCCAGGAGAGATCAGGACTGGGGCTGAGCATCTCAGGAAATAACAATTCTTCCTCTGTCCCATTCTGTTTCAGTTGCTCCAGGGCCACTGCCAGCACAGTGATTCTCTCTGAGTGAAAGGCCATGCTGTTCTCACTGGCTCTGGGCTGTGATGTCCTGCTGCTCCCCCTTCTTCCTGGAATAGCCTGACCCAAGGTCCTTCTGAAGTGGTGACCACTCCAAAAGCAGGTCAGTGGCCCAGTGAGTAGGTAAGAAGAGGCAAGGTCTGGAATAAGCTTTGAGAATGCTTACACAGCCATGTTCTTAAAGCTCAGATTGGGGGTGGGTATCCTCACTTTGCCTTTCACCAGAAGAGGAAGGGATATGTAGAGATCTTGGGTTTGTAATGTAGGACCTCGGGTAAATCATTTTTCTGCTCCGTGATTCAGTTTTCACATTCATAAAATGGACGTATTGATGCCTGGCTAACTAGCTTCCAGGGCATTCATGAAGTTTAAAAACAAAACTGGATGTGACAGCACAGTATGAGTACTAGTGCTATGCAAGTTCAGAGATGAGTACAGGAATGCTTGTTATGAATGGAGAGAACTGCAATTGGCCCTTTATCTTGAGGTTCTCCTTCCCTGCAGGAAGCAGCTCTGCCCACCCTCGCCTGCTCCCAGAGTTCGTATATCATTTCAAGTACTTACTGACTGCTCACTGGGGCCAGGGACTGTGCTGAGTTTTTACATTTAAGTTTTATTGCTTATAATACTCACACTCTTGTAAAGCATGCATTGTTTCCTGCAGTCAGCAGGAGGAAAATCAGGTCCTTGAAAAGTCAGTAAACCTCCTTAAGATGAATGAGTGGTCAATGATGGTGAGTTGCCCAGACTTGCTCTGCAGAGCAGCAATGGGGCTTCAACTCCTTCTGACTTCCAAAATTTTACTTCCCATTGCACCTGCAATTTTCAAATGGTGTCACCTGAGGCCTGCACAGAGGGAAAGGAAACATAGACCCTGCATGGCTCCTTTCCTCTGACATAACAGCAGCTTCTCTTCATCTGTTCATACATTGTATTTGACATTCAGTTTTATTTGAAAAATTCATTGCCTAATTTTAAAAATGCATTTGATTGTGTTCAAATGTTGGGTTGACTAAGTGGAAAGCATTATTCTCATCTTCTTCCTGAACGGCTTCAGGGAGTGAAGGCAGCTGCAAGGGCTCTAACCTCAAGCTGCCCTCAGCCCCACTTGAGCCCCACCCCTGTTGGGAATCATTGTCACATTTCCCATCCACCCTGGGAAGGAATAGGCTGCACAGTTACAGACACCAGTTAGGGCTATGACCATGTGGCTCCCTTAAAAGGTATGCATATAACCTCTTCCCTTTCTTACCCTCCTGTGGGTGCCCTGAACAGCAAGTTCTTGCTTGGGGTGGTAGTCGGGGACAGAAAAAAAAAAGATATCATCATTCTGTACTGATCCAAAGAAGTGGCCCTAACCTTCCCCTCTCCATTGCCCTGGCTCTCCACAGGGGTGGAAAATGGTACCAGTCAAGCCTGAACCGCAGGAGGAGCCTACAGTAGCCGCCAGGAGATGGAGGAGCCCACGCCTGAGCCTGTCTATGTCGATGTGGACAAGGGGCTGACCTTGGCCTGCTTTGTCTTCCTTTGTCTCTTCCTCATAGTAATGATCATTCGCTGTGCCAAGGTCATCATGGACCCATACAGTGCCATTCCCACATCTACTTGGGAAGAGCAACACCTGGATGACTGAGGCACAGAACAGCCACATGGGGGCAAGACCCTGGTGCTCTCTGGACAGTGGTGCCCCAACATGCCCCTCAGAGTGCCTGGCTACCCACTTGCTGGCCCACAGAGGCAAGGAGTGGATCTGGCCACCAGAGATGGAGAAGGTTCACTTTAGTCTTGCCTACTTTCACAGGAGTGCCACAGGGAGATGCTCCAGTATTGAGGATGCAGGAAACTACGGCCCCCGGAGAGGAGAGCACTGGTCTGGGACTCAGGAGGCTAGTTCCATGCTCGGGTGCCACTATAAGACTGTGGGGTGGTCACCTAGACACCCCCACCACACAAAAGTGGTCTGTACTTAAAATGCAAAATAGCACATGGAGGCTCCCAACAGAGATGTCCCTCCAGAAACCATGATCCTTCCCATGAACTAGTGATGGAGCAGGCAGTGAAGGATGAAAGGAGGCTCAGAGTGCCTCCCTGAAAATTCACAAAAGGCACAGAGGCTGCTTCCAAGCAGTATTTTTTTTTAAACTAAAATATAGAGGGATATATTTTTCCTGTAATAAATGAAATGTGCATTTTAGAAACCCGGGAAAATACAGAAAACTTGAAGGAAAAGGGAAAAATAGCACAATCCCACCTTCCAGAAGTCACCATTTTGATATATTTCTTCCACCCTTTTTTAACACATTTTTTTAGTCAAATTCATACAGTATGCATGATGCCGAGTTGCTCCATGTGAGAGCACAAGACCTCCCATTTCGTCACTGTTTGTCACTTGTTTCTAGTAACCAGAAAGCATTCCCTCGGGGAGTTATGTCATGATTTAATAATTAACTTCTTTGGTTGTTCATTTAACTTTTCCACTAATTTCTCCTCACACAAAATTACTTCATCCAGTCACCTTTTAAGGGGGATAGCTGGGCTCCAGTCCTTCTTTAGCTGTTCAAAGTCTTGTAACCTTGAGCAAGTCACCTCACTTTTTGGTGCCTCCATTTTCTTATTTTAAGACAAGGAGGGAAGACTTTGTTTCTTTTCCTTTTTTCATTTCTTATTTACTTCATATGAATGAAAGTATAGGAGAGGGAGATTTTTGCTTATAAATTGTGCTATAGAGGGAGGGGTGGTCAAGGAATAAGTTTTTGACAATGACTCTTCTGTGGGTCTCACATGTTTTCTCTCATATGTGGAGATAAAACCAAAACCAAAACAAAACAACCTGAAAGCAGAAGAGGTTCTTTTAGGGGATATGTAGAAGACTGGCAGAAGAAAGGGCAAAGGAGACTAGTAAGGAGGGCAGACATTATCAATATGATCAATACACAATATATGCACGTATGGAAACATAATAGTGTTAATTTGTACAATATGTGGTAATAATAAAACAGTCAACCTGAAAGTAACAAGGTGATTATTAGGGACTTGGAAGTGTGCTGTGGGGAATAGGGAAGGATGAAAGAAGACAGTCCAGAGACCGATATGATCAATGCACAACTGTCTGCATGTATGGAATTACCAAGTGAATCCCATTAATGTGTACAATTAATATGTGTCAATAAAAGTTGACATAAAAAATTAAAATCAACTGAAAATTTAGGAGAAATTAACTAACCAAAGAAAAGTCTGTGAAGCACTAGAAAGGGATTGGATCTTTGGTAAGTCTTAAGAAAATACTTGACAAAAAGGAGAGTATAGATTTATACTTGAGAGTCTGCCTTAGTCTGAACAATGCTTGTGTCTGGTGCCCCTGAGACAAGCTAAAAACAGATTTGGCACCTGGGAAAAATGGGTAAAAACAACTCAACGTGACCAGTATCTCCTGGCCTCTACTCCTTCCAGCCAATATTCTCAGTGTGTGATTATTGACCCAGAAGGCTCTGGTATGGTACTTCCTCTGTCTCTGTCTCTGTTTCTTGCTCTGGCTTGAAGATCACCTCAGGTTTGTTAATGCAGCACTTTTTTTAAAAAAAAAAAAGATTTATTAATCAGCTTTATTGGTTCTTTTTAGTTATATATGACAGTAGAGTGAATTTTGGTATAAATACACAAGCATGGAATATATCTTGTTCTAATTAGGATCCCAGTTTTGTGGATGTACACAATGGTGAGATTCACTGTGGTGTATTCCTTATGTACATAGAAAAATTATGTCAGAATCATTACATTGTCTTTTCTTTTCCTATTACCCCTCCCTTCCCTTCATTCCCCTTTGTCTATAATCTACTGAACTTCTTAATGGGAAATTATGTAGGACTTTACCAAACAGCTAACTCATGTCTTCTGAAGTATGACATGTTTAACTTTAGGAACTGTTCATTCAAGGGGCCAAATTAAATATTTCCTTAAAAAATTGTGACACACATTCTTCATGTACTGGGAATCTTACACCTACATAACACTGAACCTTAGAAATTATTCCTGTATTTATCAACAAAAAAGAAAGTGCTTGGGGAATTTCACTTGCCCAATGACAATAGGTTGCTGTAGCTTTCCAGTACCACATTCTGTACAGAGTCCTGTTAGCACCATCTAGGTCCTTCCACTCCTTTAAGATGAAGTTCATAGCTACATTCTCAGATGATACCAATCCCTGAAATGGCACTTTTCCCCTTAACTCAAATCATCAGCTCTGGGTCACAAGAACATGACTCGTGGTAGCTTATTCCATGTTTGCATATCTTATATAAGATAGAGCTTGATTTGTGCTCTATATGAAGGGAGAAAGAAACATCATGGTAGTAATATCTTGCATGAGTACAAAAACTAAATTTGTGCAAATACTAAAAATTTTAGTACAAGTACTAAAAATACTATTATAAACTTTCCATTATAGACTCAGAATTGTTCTTGTTGCTTTGACAAAAATTCCAAGTTCCTTATGATCTAGTGTGAAGACACAAATACATACATGGAAATAATGTTACATGAACTAATTTAGACAAACGTTCAATCAATTTAAGTCAGCATGACAAAGAAGTACAAAGAGTAGCTTTTAAAAATGTAGTCCCAGGGACTGGGTTTGTGGCTCAGTGATGAAGCACTTGCCTAGCATGTGTGAGGCACTGGGTTTGATTTTCAGCAACACATATAAATAAATAAAAATAAAATTCTATCAAAAACTAAAATAAAAAAATAATGCAGTCCCAGCTGATCATGGTGTCACATGCCTGTAATCCCAGCAACTCAGAACATTGAAGCAGGAGGAGTGCAAGTTCAAAGCCAGCCTCAGCAACTTATTGAAGCTTTAAGAAAATTTAAATAAATAAACAGATAAATAGGGCTGGGGGTGTGGCTCAGTGATTAAATGCCCTTGGATTCAATTCCCACTATCAAAAAAAAAAAAAAAATGCATCCCAATTTTCTCTCCCTTTTTCCTTCCCCTGTTTTCTTTCTTCTAACTTGTTTTCCTCCTATTTATTTGTTGGTTTTTAAATTGGTGCTTTATAGATACATATAAAGGTAGAATTCTCTGAGGTTTATTCATGTATATACATAGAATGATTTTGTCAATTTCATTCTGTAGTTCCTGTCCTTTCCTATCCCTCTCCCCCCTCCCCTTCTTCTACTCCACTGATCTCCCTTTCACTTTCATGGGATCTCCCTTTTAAAAATTTTACTCTAGTTCCACATTTGTGAACCCCAGTATTATGTATAACTATAATGTACTAATAAAATAATAAAATATTTTAATTTAAAAGATTAAAAACATTTTAGGGTTATGTATAATATAAGAATATGAGTTGAAAAACTTGATTCACACACCACATGCACACAAAACTTTTTGTATTATCAAGTTGCACTTTACTGAAAAGCCAAAGATATTTCAAACTTCTCCATGAATTTTTTCTCATGAACAAGAAGATGCAATAGCAACATGAAAGCACAAAGAACTTATGCCAGGTTAATGGACCTATAAATAGTTCCATACTAGGTGAGTGTTCCTTGGCTGTGATGAGACAAGCAGTAAGCATGTTTGAGGAACTTATAAGCAAGCAAATTCACTTTTAAATAATTACCTAATTCTAACAATAAAAACATTCATGTGCTCACTGTTATTAATGAATTCTTTAGTTCCTGCCTTGGCATCCTATATTTTTCTTATATATCTAAAAGACTTGCTAGTGTCCACATAAGGCTGGACACCTTCATCCTAAAGCAGAGAGTGTATAATGAGAGGCCAATAAAAAGTGATGTTGTTGATCAAGTTTACGTTCTCCTCATAAAAGAATGGAAATGGGTGTCAGGGAGAGTCAAAGTAGAAGAAAACAGGGGACAGGTGATCACCTCTCAGGCCACAGAATAATAAAAATACATAATAGGAAACTCATCCTAGGAAAGAAAATAAGAAAAGAATAAGAGAAGAAAAGAAAAAAAGTGATGTTTTTAGTTATCTTTTCATTGCTGTGACCAAAATACCTAAGAAGAAAAACTAAGAGAAGAAAAAGTTGATTTTGGCTCACAGTTTCAGAGGTCTCAATCCACAGATGACCACCCCCTATTTCCCTGGACCCAAGATAGAAGAAAAACATCATGACCAAAGGGTGCTGTGGAGGAAAGCTACACCCCTCATGGTGGGGTCAGGAACAGTGGGAGGCCCAGGGAAGATGAACCATTTCAGGACACACCCAGGACCCAGCTCCTCCAGCCACACCCCACCTTCCCAAAGTTACCACCCAGTCAGTCCGTTTAAACTAGGATGGATTGATTAGCAGTTTCATAGGCTCAGGATATGTTTGTTTATTCTGGGGGACACAAATCAACCTCTTTTAGATATAAGAATTTGAGTAACTTACTAAAACAATACAGTTAGTAATAGCAGAACAGAGATGTGAATCTAAGCAGTCGGACTCTAAAGCTCATGTTCTTAGCCACCAAGAAATGAAGGGATGAGTCCAGGCAAGATTTCTCTAGATGTATAGTGAAGGATGAGTGGGAGAGGAAGTAGGTGACACATAGGCCAACAAGGAATTTATTATAAGGACACTGGAAAGACACTAAAGAACACCTGGACTAATTAATACA